GGGAGCGGCAGCGCCGGTATATAGGGCATGGCGCGGGCTGCGTGCCGCTGCGGAGGCGTGGGAGGGCGGGAAACAGCTCGCGTGCGGCGCAGGTCAGGAGGCAACGGCACCGGCACCGGCTGCTATTTCTGGCACTTGCTCCCCGGGGGGGACATGGGGAAAGTCACTGCGTTCCCCTGGGGCCGCTCCGCTGGGGATGCTCTTTGCCACCCCGGCTCCCACCCTTGTCCCTAGCGGTGATGGCCCCTGCTGTGGGGGCTGCCAGGACCCCCGTCCCCCCCCTTCCCCTGGCAGAGGCAGAGGCGATCGCTTGGCTGGTGTCCCCCTTTCAAAAAAAAAGCTGCAGGGTTGGAGCCGCTGCCAATGGCGGTTCCTGGGACCGTCCTTCCTCCATCACCCTTTGCCCTTGGGACACTGCCGAGCTCCTGCAGACCCCGCTCTGTCCTCAGGACCCGGCCCAGGCTCGGTGGGGGCTGATCCACAGCTCCCCCTGCCCCGGGCTGGATCCTGCACCCAGTGCCCTCGCAGCCCAGCCTGCTCTGGGGGCTTCAGGCTGCCCCCGGCTGGGTTCATCCCCGCTTTGCCCAGGGACCGAGGCTGCGGGGTCACCGGCGTCTGTCTGTCCGTCTGTATCCCCCCCCCAGGCAGGACATGGACTCCATGTTCGAGGACGACATCAGCATCCTGACGCAGGAGGCGCTGGGGCCGGACGAGGACTGGCTCGACAGCCCCAACACTGACCTCTCGGGCGAGATGTGCTCGGCCTCCCACTTCGCCCTCATCACCGCCTACGACGACATCAAGAACCGTCTGACAGGGCTGGAGAGGGAGAACTCCACGCTCAAGCGCCGGCTCAAGATGTACGAGGTCAAGGTGAGGGGCCGGGGGGCCGGGAGTGGGGCACAGGGCCGGGTGTCCCCGCTGATGCCTCTGCCCCGTGGCCGCAGTACCCGCTGATCGGTGAGTTTGGGGAGGAGCACATCTTCTCCCTCTACGAGGCCAAGGAGACGTCGCTGCTCAAGAGTGAGAAGGCGTCGCTGCAGCAGCAGCTCAACCAGTTCCAGCACGAGGTGAGCGGGGCCGGTGGCGCCGGGGGACGTGGGGGGTCCCCGAGCTGGCCGCCCACCCCCGCCTGCCTTCCCGGCAGCTGCAGAAGAGCAAAGAGCGGGAGGAGCAGCTGGAGGAGATGATCCAGGCCTACGAGAAGCTGTGCGTGGAGAAGGCTGACCTGGAGACCGAGCTCGGAGAGATGGTGGGTGCCGGCGGGTGCTGCTGGCAGGGACCGGTGCCTGAGGACATCGGGGTCCCCTTCCCCTCTCCATGGCAGCAGCTGGGCAAATGGCTTCTCCATCCCGCGGGGCCGCTGGGTCCACCGCAGGGAATCTGGGGGGGGGCTGGGGGGGCCGCGGCTGCTCGCCCCCGTTATGGCCGCGTTGGGGGTTGTAGTGATGCACACGGCTCGGCTTTATCCCTGTCTCTTCCCGCTCCCACCCGGCCAAGGGATGCTCCCGGCTCCAGCGTGTCCCCGTCCTGGCGCGGTGGGTCGGCTGGGCATCCCCGGCTTCCCCCGCCCCATCCAGCATGATGTTCTGCCAGCCCGGGGGGCCACCCGCGCCGTGCCACCTTCTGGGCTGGCCACGTGCTGGGGACAGATCCCCCCCCGCCGCCCTGCCACGACGGCCACCAGCTCCACGGGGACCCCCAGCGCCGGGTCTGCCGGGGCGGGGCAGGATGAACCCCGGGGAGGGGGTGCGG